TGGTACCTAAGGGCTGCCGATCGTGCCTGGCACTGCGGTTGTCTTCGTTGCTGCAATTGCCGAATGCCTCTCGCTGGCGAACGTACTTGCTTCGCGAGGGACGGCAACATATACTGCAAAGAGGATTACTACAGGTTAGCGTTATTTCCCCCTTCCACTCCTCCTCTTATCCCCTCCTCTTACCCCATGGCTAAGAAGATTACATCGCTTCTATGTTATTCGTAAAATCATTTCAAAAGTCAAAATGGGAATATCCATGTATGTATGTATACCACCAACAAATACGTACATACATAATATATATATATATATATATATATATATATATATATATATATATATATATATATATATATACGTATAATTATGATTTTTAAAGGGTTCCTTAACGAAAGATATTTTCTTTTTTAATTTATCATCGTTATTTATAACGAAAAGTAGATAAATGTATTCTATACCCTTGGAAATAACTCAGCGAACGTGATCCGTTTCTTCGATCGAGTATATCTATCTAATATCGTGTTTCTCATCGTAAGAACGCTTACGCTTCTCTGCGAAACAGATATAGATCTGTATAATAAGAATAATAAAGATGAAAAGTAAGTTTCAAAGTAGATAGATTTCCATTTATCGATGTTTATATCAACGAACGCGCGCGGAATTTAAGGTTCGGACAAGAACGGCTCGATAGCAACCGCACCCTAGAAGACAGCCATTAGTATAGATTTTGTGTGGTCCGGAGTAAGTCGAAGACGGTAAAACTATGGTAGGAGGTGGGAACCGGGCTTTTGGGGACCTTACGGGTGTGGGACAGAAGTGACGCTCCTATGCAAATTCGACGCTACCCCAATAAATACTGAAATGCGATGGTATACGTAGAAAACAGGAATGGCGAATGGAAAGAGAGAAAGAAGAAGAATGGGGACCTGGCTGAATCTTACATCGCCTTCGCGAACCATTATCCTCGATAATTCGCCGTATAATGTTTCCATGAGCGACTTCTCCTCTTTCCTTTGTTTCCTCCTTCTCGCGAAGAAAGTGGAGATACACTTAAAGGTCAAGTAGATTCGGAATATCCAGATCAGACGAGTCGCGAACGAAATATTATATTCTTGGTGCAATATCTTCGTATTTTTTTTTACGACACTTGTTAAAAAAAGAAAAAGAAAGAAAGAAAGAAAGAAAAAAAAAATAAAGGTAAAATAAAATAAAGAAGGAAAGAAGAAAAACCCGACATTGTGGATATTTGCGATAGTCAATGGGGAAATCTAATATCATAAGACATTTTGAGATTTCATAAGAGAAATGTCTCTTTTCTTTTTTCTTTTTTTCTCTTTTTTTTTTCTTTTTTTCTCTTTTTTTTTCTTTTTTTTTTCTCAAATTCAACGAACATTGTATTATTACGTCGAAAGACGATTCGATCGCGATGACTATTATTGTTTCGATTCTTCTTGTTCTTGTTGTTGTTATGCCACAATAAGGTTGTACTTACGCGATAATATATCCAGGATTCCATGCAAGGGAGGAAGAAGAACGTCCGGTAGTATCTCTCTGGTAGTTTCTGCTTCGTTAGGGAAGAACAGAACGGCCTCCCATGCAATATGCAACGATCCAGATCCAGGCCACCCCCTTTGTCTCTTTCTCTCTCTCCCCTCCTGTCTCTCTCTCTCTCTCTCTTTCTCTCTTTTTCTCTCTGTCTCTGTCTCTCTCTTACCCTCTTTCTCTTTGCCGTTTCTTCTCCGTTTCTTTTTCTCTCTCTCTCTCTCTCTCTCTCTCTCTCTCTTTTCCTCTCTGTCTCTTTCTCCTTTTCTTTTTGTTTTTCGCGCTTCGGAAACTATAACGCGTGTCTTCCTACGTTTCGATCGTTGCTACGCGATATGGACACCGCCAAGGCTCAGCTCTTTTCCCATCTAGTCTAGCCTCCTTCTATTTACGAGGCCGTACGCGTATATGTACACGAGAACGTTCATTGTGTGCCAATTTTGGTGTGTGCCGTTTCGAATGCTGGAGGTCGCACGCATGACGGATGCATGAGAGGTACAATCCGTAAAATCGAGCCAGCTGTGTGATTCCAAAACTACTCTTTCGACGTACATATGCATATGTAGGTACGTGACGTGCGTACTCGTTTAAAAAAAAAAAAAAAAAAAAAAAAAAAAAAAAAAGAAAAACTCGTGAAACTTTAAACCTTCATTACGAATAACTTCTAAATCGGATGAGGATTTTTTTTTCCGTACTTTTCCTTTTTCCATTTTATAGTTTCTTTTTTTTTCTTCTTCTTCTTCTTCTCCTTTTTCTTCTTCTTCTTTCGTTCCTTTTTTCATCCATCGACGTTTAATGCTTTTCCAATAAAAAAAAAAAAAAAAAAAGAAAAAAAAAAAAAAAAAAAAAAAAATTCTACGTGCGAATTTTTAATGACACAAAAATAAAGACCTCGAAGAGAGTTCGTAATTATTTTATTTTTTATTCATTTCTTTTTCTGTACTTTTTCTTACTTCTTTTTTCTTGTTCTTTTTTCTTGTTATTTTTTTTTCTTTTTGTTCGTTTTTTCGTTAAGATCGTTATCAAGATGTCGCAGGCAATTCGCGCGATATTATCGAACGACATTGAACGCACGACTGCATAACAGGGACGCGTACAATGCAGATGGGTTAAACTATGATCTCATATATCTTACAGGATGTATGAAATATTAACCATTGTACGATAAATACGTTTCTCTCGACAGGGACATCTTCCTTCGTCTATAACTACGTCGTGTTCGATGTAGCAATAATCCAATAGGATCTTCATTAGATTATCTTAATACTTATTTCGAGATCGACGATTCAAATAAGGCTTTTATTTTTCTTTCCTTTTCTTTTCCTTTTTTTTTCTTTTTTTCCTTCATTCCTTATAGTTCCGAAAGGTCGTAAAAAGATTTAAGTAAGACGACGGATGAAAAAAAAAAGAAAAAGTAAGATAACGATAATGATAATGATAATAATAATAATATTGGGAGACATTTTTATAAAAAAATCATTTTTCAGGTTGTTCTCAGTATCGAGATGTTCCCGATGCCGTGAGGGTATCTTCCCGTCGGAGCTTGTGATGAGAGCAAGGGACCTGGTCTACCACGTGACCTGTTTTAATTGCGCCTCCTGCGGTACAGCATTGAACAAAGGCGATCATTTTGGCCAGAGAGACGGCTTGGTATATTGTAGGTGAGAAATACGAGCCCGATGATTAGCGTTATCCAAAGGCCGTCTCTTTGTTATCAACGAGTTCGATCGACGAGAACGACGTAGATCGGAGACACGGCCCCCGATCGTATGTGATCGCACGACGCTCGGCGTCGATCGTCTTAACGGATTGATCGATTATTCTCGTATTATCGAGTATGAAATCGTATTCGTTTCGTCGATCGTTAAACGATTCATATTATTCCACCGTCGTTTAATATCAATGGAAAATCTAAAGGAAGAGAATAGAATATTCAAAGTTTGGCGATAAGTCTCGTCGAACGAACTCGGTAAGATAACGAAAAGGCTCGCGAATCGAATACTCGACAGCAAGGTTCACGAATGACGAGCTCGTCGATCCCAAGACCGCACTACGAGTTGCTTTGCTGCGCCGGGGATTACGGAAGCGGTACTGGCAGCATAGAAGACATCGGTTCGCCAGGAGTCTCGCCGCTTCCGGCTTATTACAGCACGGCCGAGCAGAGTCCGATCGCGTCCTCAGGAACGGTACAAAAGGGAAGGCCAAGGAAGAGGAAACTTTCCGAAGTCACTGGGTCCGAGCTTCCTGTAACAATGAGGCTGGCCGCCGGAGCGTTGGGTGAGCGAATCTGCGACCATCTCTGCGATCTCTCGCCTAATCCCTTATATTCGCAATATATACATATATACACACAACTATATATATATATATATATATATATATATGTATATTATTATTATTAACAAGCGACAAGTGAAATCAAATCGACCGTTCCTTCCATTTAACAATACCACAATGATAAACAATCCAAGCAAATATGTTTGATAATCGTTCGAGAGATTATGTAACTATAACGTAACGACGAAAGTTTCGCGACGACCTAATCGTAGATGTCGATATTAGAGAGGGATACCCTAATTGGACCGGATGGTAAACGGGCGGGCTGACGGGCGGATTGGGAAGGAGGGGGAAGGGATGGTGGTTGCTTTCAAACGTCGTCCTTAAAACTATAGGAACACGTGGTAGGTACGCACTCTATCCACGTCGAGTCTTTCTCTCTCTCTCTCTCTCTCTCTCTCTCTCTCTCTCTCTCTCTTTCTCTCCTTTTTCCTCCCGCTTTCGTATCCACTCTATCGTTCGTTCGCTTAGTCGAGCAGGTTAGTCGAGGGAGTTGCATTATTTGCCGAGCAATGAGCATAATGGCTCGTTCCTTAGGCGCGCAAACATTTGCACGAGCTTTCGAGAATCGGCAAGTACGAATCGCGAGATTCGTTCGCACTTGCCTCGTTAACCGTGCGCCATTCTTTACTCTCCCTCTTTCTCTCTTTCTCTCTCTCTCTCTCTCTCTCACTCTCACTCTCTCTCTCTCTCTCTCTCACTCTCACTCTCTCTCTCTCTCTCTCTTTTTCCGTCTTTCTCTTTCTCTTTATTTTTTTCTCTCTCTCTTCGACACACCGGAATTCTTTAAATAAATTCTCGCACGCTACGCAGCTGTTTCTACGATTCCACTCGTCGGATATGCTCTTTAATCTCGTTGCGTCGAATGAATCGCATTTTTAATTCTTTATATTTCGTCTTTCAAACGCTTCGTCTCCCCGTAACATTTCTCCCAACGAAGCCCGGCATTGTTTCATTTTTTCGTTTATTTATTTATTTATTTGTTTGTTTGTTTGTTTATTTGTTTATTTTCTTTTCATTCTTTCTATATATATATATATATATTTTTTTTTTGTATCCGTTTTCTTTTCGTCAGATCTCTTAGTCCGACGAACTCTGCACGGTCCCACGCTATATTCTCTGCTTATATTCGTTGTCCTTTCTTTCTTTCTTTCTTTCTTTCTTTCTTTCTTTCGTCGAGCTTTCAACTTCCAGATGGTAAAATAAATTAACGATGAAAAGATTTCAGGGGTAAACGAACGTGCGACTCGTTTCTTACTCGTGAAGTGAGAATCTTATACCGATTTCGTTCGTTCGATTGCTTACATTTTTCATGCCTTTACGATTTCACGAAACGACGAAAGGAAATTCGATTCTCATCACTTGCGAGTTTAGAGTTTTACTCGTGAGAAGAGACGTACGTAAGTACGCGGTAAGTACGTAAGTACGCGTGATTCTCAGTTATTTTATAATCGACGTGCGATCAGAGCGGAGGATCGCTCCTCGGACTACCGGTTGGAATTTACGACCAACAGCCATAAAATCGTCCATGAAGTTCTCCCCGGTGCGGCTTAAGGAGAAAGAGAAAGAGCGAAGGAGAAAGAGAGCGTACGTCTGTGTGTATATGCGTCTGTATGTATCTGTGTGAAAGAGAGATAGATATAGAGAGAGAGAGAGAGAGAGAGAGAGAGAGAGAGAGAGAGAGAGAGAGAGAGAGAGAGAAAGAGATGAAGAGAGAAAGAGACAGGGTGGGAACCGGCCGACTGGTCCCCGTCAGGACTCTTCTCCCGCCGTTTTATTGTCCTTATATATAATTGGGACACTTTTTGCCTCGTTCGAGAGATTTCGAATTATCCCGTCTGGACGTCTCCCCTGATTCTCGACGGTCGGCAAAATCCTTGAAAACGCGTCGACGTTCCCGCGATAGATCGAAAGAATCGAGAAGGATGGACGTATCGTTTTTCTTCTCGTTTTGCCATCTTCCCTCCCCGCCTCCTTTTCCCCTTTCTTCCCTCTTCCTTGTCCTAATGCACCCTATTCTTTTCCTCTACTTCAAGGTCGTTCAGAAATTCGCACCTTCGATGATCTAATCGTCTCTTATGTATTAAAGGAGGTTGGGAGGGGTTAGAAAAGGGAGGGAAGGGAAAGAAAAGAAACGAATATAGAAGCGAAGAGAAGAGGAGAGAAGAAGAAGTAAAAAAAAAACCAAAAAAAAAAAAAAGAAAAAGAAAAAAAAAGAAAGCAAAACAAATAAGAAGGAAGGAATGAAAGAGAGAGAGAGAGAGAGAGAGAAAAAAGAAATAAAAAGAAAGAAATCTATTTTACACGATGCACAACTTGTTTAAGTAAAGATTTTCTACTTGATCGAGTATGGAACGTCGTCGCTTACGCAACGCGGCCGACAACGTCTCTCTACGAAACGCTTTCGTTTTTCTCTCCATCCTCGCCATCGGCCATTCTCGGCGATGGAAGAAGAGAGAGTAAATCCATTCGCGTTTACGATAAAAATCAGTGAGTCCAGGGAAACCATTAATGTCTTTAAAGACGCTTACTTACATACAATCCAGCGGATAGATGATGTTTTTCCCCTATCAAATGAAATTCGCCGAAAACGCGAGAAGGAAGAGAAATAATATCGACTAGGGTAAGCTCGATCGATCCGATCCTTCGATCGATCGAACGAATCTCGTGCATTCTTCCTAGAGATAAATAGATAGATAGATAGATAGATAGATAGATAGATAGATAGATAGATAGAGAGGGAGAGAGAGAGAGAGAAAACGATTTATCGACCGATCGAGTCTCGTCTCCTTAATCGCGAATCTACGACGACTCTTGATACTTTTTTCCTTCTTTCTTTCTCGCATACCAGCGTAGTATATACATATATATATATATATATATATATATATATATATATATCTTTCTCTCTCTTTCTTTCTCTATCTCTATCTCGATGAACGAGCACATCGTCGATCTAAACAGATTTCGCTCGCATACGTCTACGACCGTTTGCACGCGGTTACGCTTGGCTAAAGAAGAAGAAGACGAGGAAGAAGAAGAAATGAAGAAAGAGAGAGAACGTTAGAGAGAGAGAGAGAGAGAGAGAGAGAAAGAGAGACAGAAAACGGCTAGAGGGCATACGCGGACAGTGACAGATGGGTATCGGCGCGGAGATGCATCGATTGGCCGATCTGCCCGGAAAAGAATGCTGTCGCGGCCAATACGTGGCCACTGCCAGCAGAATGGCCGGCCGTCCACAATGCCGGCTCCTTCAACTTTTTTTTATACCCTCTACCGTTCTCTCTCCTATCTTCTTCTCTCTCTCTTTCTTTCTTTCTTTCTCTCTGTCTATCTCTCTCTCTTTTTCTCTTTCTCTTTCTCTTTCTCGTATCTACCTTTTACCGCTTTCTCCTTTGCGCCCTTCTAACCTTCGTCTTGACAAATTGTAATCTCATTCTCGAACCGTGAAATCTTCGCGTCCTTTCGTCTTCCCCTTTCTCTCACGTACGATCGCGAGTAGAACACGCGAGAGGAATATAGAACATTATAGCTTTCGAAAACTTCGCCCTCGATTCGTAAATGGAGAAAAGAAAAAGGATAGTAGATCATTCACCTCCTTCTCTCCTCCTCTCCTTCTCTCCTTCTTTCCTTCTCTCTCTCTTTCTCGTTCTGTTCCTTTCGTTCTTTCTCTATCTCCCTTTCGTGATGCTTGGAGATCGTCGAACGCAAGGGAATGGAAGTTCGGAACAATAAACAGTAATGGCGGATACGTGCTCGGGGATTTACTTCTGGGATAGCCTACTACTACCGCCATCTCCCCCTCCCGCCATCTCCCACCGTTCCGCTCTCACCAAACCCTCCACAGAGCCGAGGCCACCATCACCATCACCACCAGCAGCAACAGCAACAGCAACAGCAACAGCAACAGCAACAGCAACAGCATCAGCACCACCACGAGCTATCTCTTCGTCGTCGTTGGAACCCGTTCTTTCTCTCGATCGAATTCAATGGTTACCCTCGTCGTCTTATTTATTGGATACGTTTCTTCGCTCCGCCGGCGCGCAACAATCGCGACTCTCTTCGATGGCACAGAACGCGGAGTCTCTTCCTTCTCTTTCTCCTCCTTGTCCTCCTCCTCCTCCTCCTCCTCCTTCTCGTTCTCCTCCACTTCCTCCTCTTCTTCTTTTTCTTCTTCTTCTTACTCCATTCTACCACCCCATCTACCCCGCAATTCTCCCCCCCCCGCTCTCCCGCCCTCCTCCCTCGCTCCCTCTCGCCGTTCCTGCTCCCTCGATACCTACATACTTTTTTGCCTTGTCCCGTTCGACGACGGAGAGCACGTTCGACGGAAAAATGAATTCGTTCGATCGGCCGAAGTCTTTCTTCGCTTTGAGAAGAGAGAAAATACGGTTTCGCGACGTCGTCGACCGGTTTCAATTCCAACCAACGGATTTATGCGAGTACCAATCGCCGTTCCAGATTAAACCTCGTCGACGATTCCCACCTTCCTTCCTTCTTTCTTTCCTTCCTTCCTTCCTTCCTTCCTTCCTTCCTTCCTTTCTTCCTTCCTTCCTTCCTTCCTTTCATTTTATTTCGATTCGATACGATCGAATCGCTTGAATTTTTTTTCGAAAAGGAACAAACGTTAAGGATAAATGGAACGAACAGGTCTGAGAGATATTTCCTATCGAAATTAATATTCAATTGATATCAAATGGCATACGTAGATATAATTATCTATCTCTATAAACAGGTCTTCTCATTCATATCCTTCAGACGGTATCTTAGCGAGTAAGTAGAAGAGCGTCGTGCGAGTATAAAATTTTGCGCTTTTCATATGATCGATCATTAATGTGAAAATTATTAGATGATATCAATATAGTAAAGTCCAGATAGATAGTATTGGTATAGAATAATTGATTGGTATTAATGATTGATTGAGAAAGCATCTTGTTGTTGATCTCGTTGTTTCAGAACTTCTACATCCGACCGAGTTATCCTCGTCGATGGAATCGCTCGCAGCATACGACGCATCCGTAGGTTCACCCGGGCCCGTTCATCAGAGCCAAAGAACTAAACGCATGCGTACAAGTTTCAAGCATCATCAGCTGAGAACTATGAAGAATTACTTTGCCATTAATCAGAATCCAGATGCGAAAGATCTTAAACAATTGGCCCAGAAAACGGGTCTCTCGAAGAGGGTACTTCAGGTGAGAAGGGGACGGATCGCTTTTGCGGTACGTCCGTAATTTTTTTTTTTTTTAACCCGAATCGAAGGGTACACGAAATGAATTAATACGGGAGGATATCGAAATACGAAGAAAGAGATATATGTATCTTCAAATATTAAATTTCTTTTTTTTCTTTTCTATCTCTTTTTCAAGAATTAACGAATTATAATGGGACTCGAAACGTGGGAAAGAAATTTCTATCTATTAAAATCATAATCGATAAATTTCATTTCATAAATTTTTGATATCGTCCTTTATGAAGGAGAGAAAAAAAAAGAAGTAAATTCTTTAATTCGAATTAATCGACATTTGTAGATATCACGCTTTATATACAGGTATGGTTCCAAAACGCACGCGCAAAATGGCGGCGGAATATGATGAGGCAAGAGGGTAGCGGAGCGAACAGTAACGTTGGCTGTCCTGGTACGCCGGTGTCATCGAGTACAGCAGGTTCGCCAAACGTCGCACCAACCGTTAGCATCCTAGGCGATAGTAACAGTATGCCCTCGACCTCGATGGAGGAATTACACGCCCTTCATCATTTGCATTCTGGTGTTTCCTCTCAGGTTTCTTTTTCCGATCTCTACTGACGACGGCTTGAGATGGAGGAAGACGGTTATAGTACCCTTTCCAGCCATCTTGGATGAGAAAACGCCAAGGAAGATACGGACTTCTCTTTTTTCTTATTACGAGATGACATTCTCGTCAAATTTGTGAGGGTTCGTGATAATAACGGCGTAGGAACGTCGATGAAATCCTTGCTTTATTGTCATTCGATAAATTCGAATGTAAATTCTAAATATTCAAAGGGAAATAAAAATCAATGACGAATTTGATTCCTGAGAAAAAGAGATCAAGTGAAAGAGAGAGAGAGAGAGAGAGAGAGAGAGAGAGAGAGAGAGAGAGAG